GCATCGGCATTGGTCGAATATATTTATAAAGGGCAAGTGCTGATGACACAGACCAATGTGAGGGGCATGGTTGCCCTGGCAAAGATGCTCAACCTGCCGGACCTAGCGGGTTGGGGAGTCCAATTCATGACGGACCGGTAAATATTCCCTGTGTAGTATTGTCTATCTGTGTGCTCTTTAGTCTCACTTTAGAAAATTTGCCTGCCGTTTGGCCTTGTGCGAAATTCCTAGAGATCGGCACACTGATGACGGCTTGCATCCAACTGATGAAGAAACAGTTTGAGCGGGTCGTAAGTTCTGACTTCTTTCTGCGGCTGCCAGCCGAAACAGTGCTGACGTTGCTAAGGGACGACAACCTCTCGGTCTCCTCTGAGGAAGACGTGTTTGAAGCAATCGCCCGCTGGGTGGGCCCCGGAGGCGAGGACCACAATGAGCGGCTGAGGGTGCACGCATTGGCGATGCTGAAGGAAGTCCGCTGGCGACAGACGAGTCTCCAATTCCGCGGTCGCCTAATTGCAGATGATGAAATATTCCGCTAAAGTAACGATTGTTCGTAAGCTAATCTCAATTTACCTCATTTAGGCACACTTAAAGTCGGTTTTTATGTCAGGTTGAACAGTGGATGTATGGCCGTTACAATTTCGACTGTCCATTCAACCAAAACATAAGAGTATTAGCTCAGAAGCTGTTGGTCTTTGGAGTGGATAAAAATCTGACCAGGCGGTGGTTTGTGCACAGCTTCAATTCAGAATTTAAACAGTTGGACCTAATAGCCAGAGCGTATCGTCGTTCCTACGCCTCTTAAAATGTAATTGACGGTGAGTTGCGCAACAGTCATGCACCCTCTTAGACATATTTTTGTTGAAGGCTACATATCGTTTTTGCCTTTTTTGCGGCATTATAACACATACGCTAAGTACAAGTGTCACTAAGTGAGGCCTGCAGATATATGCACTTTTACTGTAATCCATGCGGTTAATACTTTCCTCACAAAATTCCGTCAAAATGCGCAGCCATCTTGGCGTTCTCTGTTCTTTTTGGCGGGGCAGTTCCCGACTATGTCCAATTTGGCTGGTTTTATTTATCACTTCTTTGTCCAACAGTTAGATTTGCTAGGCAAAAAGAATAAAGAAGAAAATGAATTGCGCTTTTTTTCGCGAACGAAGCCCGTCTGTTTGTTTTGTTGGTTTTAGTTAGGGGACCGACAGGTTTTTGTTCCTTGCCTCATTCTCAATGTTTTTTGTTTTGTTTTGTCCTCCACGCATCAGACGGCATTTTTATGGTTGGAGGATGGCAGTACTCTGCAAGAGTCTCGGAGTTCCTGCCGAGGGAACCGCTCTGGCGTGAACGGGACCCCCTCGCCGTTGGACGCTACTATCATGCAGCCGCAGTGGTGCAGGAAGCCGAGGGCGTAGGACGGGCACTGCTAGGTGTTTTCGGTGGATTGGTAAAGGAGGGGTCGTACCTCTCCTCATGTGAAGTCTACGATGTCAGGCAGGACAGGTAAGTATTTGCGTGTGGCGCCGCCGCTTGTTTGCTTACTTGATCTTTTTTTTGCGTACAAGTCTTCGCATTGGACACTGCAGCGAACTCTTCTTCTCGCATGCCCCTCCGTGCCCCCAACCAGATGGCACAGACTGCCTGACCTGCGGGAGAAGAGGGCCGGTCCAGCTGCTGCCTCTCTGCCCGGTGACAGTCGGGTCTTTGTTTTCGGCGGTAACAGTGAATCTTCCGGCGCCCTTGCCTCAGTGGAGTTCTGC